AGTACCAAACTGTTTGTAAATACATGTAGACTTCCACTTGAGTTAGGACATCTACAGTCCCAAATTTGAACAAAGAGTTGCAAGTATTAAAAAAAACAAAACACAAAAATTTATCTCAACAGATAAATTGTTTCTTAGGAAGGAGTCTGTCCTTGTACTTGACTTTTTCAGCATTTTTTCCTAACTTGACAGTCTATCCTACATGCACACACACATCAGCATACGATACCCCACTACTGAAGTTTTGACCAATAAACTGCATCAATTTTTTCATTGCTTTGGTTGATGTCCAGCTCGTTTATGAGCTGACAATCATACAACCAACAATGCTGGCCATTGCCTTGTCCAACAAAACAAGGACAAAACTACCACTACCTAAAATAATTTCTTAGGCTTTCTCAGGTACAGTTGTACATGTTCAGCTACCAACGAAGGCACAAAGCTAACTGTTAATATCAGTTGAGACTGCCCATTCACAATCTGTAATGGTAATAGGAATGAGTGGAGTCCAATTCCTTCCCTAATCATACAAGCGATAAACAAAATTAAATTCCTGTGTCACAGTCCTCTGATTTGTTAATCATGAGTATGATTATAGACAGAATTGGACAACATGAAGTCTTAATGTTACCAATTAATCGAAACCATAACAAAATCCAAGAAAGAAACTAGACATCTGTTTCATGTTTTCATAAAAAAGCAACAGTAGTGTGCACACAAGCATGACAATTACAAGCATGACATGTACACTGTCTTGTTAGTACTCAAATGGGGCTGGTGATAACCAGTCATGTTAGAGAATTTTGTTATAATTTTGATTAAATATTTTAAATTTAAATAGAACAGTGAATCTAGAGACTGTTGGTTTAAATAATACAGTCATGAATCTCTGATTGAATTCAAGGTCCTGCTTCTTCAACATAATTTGGATCACCTTTCTTGTCAACAAGATTAGTTTTCATCTCAATGTCTTCGGAATTTGTAGTCTTGCTGGCATCTGCTCCTCTATCACAAGAAAGATGAAGTATTTTTAAGTAAGGACACCAAAGTACAAAGTAGTGAATAAATGCTTTAGAATGCTCATGGTCTTGCTGGTGCTTTCAGTGTGGGCAGGTGAACTTGGTGGCTTATTAAGTCTGGTGAGTGAAGAACTCACATTAAATCTCTTAACCCTTTAACTCCCATGGGTACCTAAGACAGAATTTTACCTTAAAATGTCAAAACAATATCATGCAGGCAAGTGACAAGAGTAAAGAAAAATATCATTTAACAGGATTATTACAGAATATTGTTGATACAGTACCAAACTCTCCAAACTAACATCATAAGAATTTTATGTCAGTCTGTAGAGAGAACTACTCATGAAATCTTGTGAGTGAAAGGGTTATAAAAAAAGAGATGAAGAAAAGATAAGGGATGTACCAAATAAATTAATTTCTAATGTACATCTTTTGTTGAAGTACGTCAGTGTACTTATTTGTAAACAAATGGCACATCAATTGTCTAAGATAATTTTCACTTACTTTTTTCCAATGGCCAAAACACCATACAAAGCAGCTGTGATCATAACAGAGCCACAGCCAACAAAGGTGGAGACTTCTAGGCAAAAAATAATTGGAAGGAGAGCCAACCTAGATATTTTAACAAAAACTGACTTCAGAAAACATCAAGCTTATATATTGAAGGCATTGCACTGATTGCAAAATGCATTAGCAATTCATGAACCCTTAAACTCCCAAGATCTAATTCTCCCTTCCAGCTGCTTCACATTTCTTTGCAAAAACAGTTACAAGAATTTGGTGTTAGACCAAGATAACTACTACTACATGATACATGCAAGTTTAGGTGTTTTCAATATCTGTTTGCTGTATATTGTATGGATATCATAAGGAGAAAATACATGTTAATCTTTTCTGAGAGTTAAAGAATTAAGCATACATGTGCTTGGTCATATTTCAAGCTCATACTGTTAAAACCTCTTCAAAGTGTAATGCTGATGGGTAACTTGGCCTGAATAGCAATCTTATGAACAATAAAAACTTACAGAAAATACAAGCATCCTCTCATCCAGAATCTAAAGTGACTCTCAATCCAGTTACTCACAGTTACTAGAGCTGGTACATACTGGCAACACATTGGAGCCTCAAAAGCTAAGATAACTGCACCCATCATTCTAAAAAATTACACAACAACATTACAATCAATTTCTCATCCCCATAAATTGAATGACTACCTCCTTAGAGGGTGCGTTATGAAAAGGTATACCAATTGAGAATCTCATCAAGTCAGTCAGCTACTAAATGTTTTGAGTCCTGCTTCTGAAACGTTAATTATCTTCAAAACTTGTATTACATGCTGTCAAAGCAAGAGGTGGGCAGTAAAAAATTCTTTCTGTGGGCCGTTTATTAGGTAGTTAGTAATAATTAACAATTACTCACTGAAGTGGAGGTGTATAGTGGAGGATGTCTACTTAGCCTCAAAACAACAAGGTAAATATCCACCAATTTTACTGACACTGAAGTGAATAATTGTTTTAGTATATACCACACAGATACCAAAAAAATTATTTTCTTTCTGTCATATCCCAAAAAATGGCCAGAAATTACAGCTGTAAATTGTTAATGTGTGATTTTGTCTCTTTAGCTGCTAAGAGGTGAATAGTACTTGCTTATCACTTCTGAACCAGCCAATCACCATGCACAAAAAGAACTATTCACCTGTGGTATAAACTAAAAATCAATATTCCAATATTTTTTAAGCAATGAGGGGTACAGTCAAGTGTGTGTGTGCGCAGTGTAGTGTGCAAGTCAAAAGCTTGATTTAAGGTTAAAAAATATCTTTAGGGCCTCCCTAACCCTACTTTGACGCAATACATTCAAGCATATCAACCAAACATGAAACCTGCTCCCTATACAGCGCCTTCAATGCAAGATTTAAATTCTAACAAATGTTAACTCATAATTGTACTTACATCATATAAATACCCATTCCTAAACATGTTGCGGATAATGTAAAAAGCACAAAGAAGCCAAGTGCTGCTGAACCTAACAGAAAATAACATGATAGTACATGTAAGTTATCTATAAAATGTTCTGCCTAAAAACAAGACTCTGGTCTAAAGGCAAAGTACAGGTACATGGTAAGTCAGCTGTTTGATAATGGTAAACTTTTTATACAGCTCATAACTAATTTCAGACTCTTATAATTGGAAATCACTCCCAAAACTGTTGTCAAGGAAGCCATCACCCCCCGTTCAATTCCCTAAAAACCTGATTAACAGCAGGCCTGTGTTGTTTGAAAAGGGATGTTCATCTCCTTAAATCTTAGATAAATCCCTATCTGATGGATAGCATGGTACATTTTGTCCACACTTAATCCTTCAACTCCCAAGATCTCATTAGTAATTCTCCTTACTATCTAACAAATGATTCTGATTATGTTAGTTTGGAGAATACGGTATCAAATCAATTATTAATCCCATAATTGATATTTTTCTTAATTATCATTACTTGTCTACATGGTATTGCATATAATATATATAATAAGGAGAAATTCTGTCTAGATCTCTCAAGAGAGTTAAAGGGTTAACCAATGAATAGGGATTTATCCATAAGTTTCCCTTGTCTAGCCTTAGAACTACTTGATCGGCCCAGGAGAAAATATCCTTTCCCAAACAATAAACAAATCAAGTATTTCATTCCTCTAAAATGTTAGAAGTGCATGTGAACTCAGTTTCACTTGCCTTGAAGTAACAAATAGTAACCGGTTATTTCCCTCTGCAGAACTATATTTGGAGGGCAACAACTTCCTTCATCACAATGTGGGGAGGTTAATACCACACCACAGTTATTCAACTATAACTATAATTACCAAACAATTCAGAGGAAAGTTGCGCTTTTGATTACTTGTTGGCCTCTGCTATTATGTTTATTATTATCTGTACCATTTTGAAACACAACGCTCAAAACACTTCCATATTAGATCCTAATAATTCAAAAGAAAAAGTACACCTGAAATAATCATCACTGAAATTAATATTTCCTCATTTTTCATTTTCCGTAACAGTAAATATCCGGGAATTACATGTACATGGAGCAATTTCGATGCAATTTGCCCACCATCTTCTAATTCTTGCAAATACCAAGATTTAGTTTGCAAAACATCAGATCAATTTTTATGCACTGTCGATGGAGTACCAAGCTAATGAGATTTTTAATCCACTTGCGGGTTTTCGTATCGTTTGGCAGCATACAACATAAATTTAGAGCTATGAAGGTTCAATTGAATTTTCGAAGTTAATTTTCGATTCGCAAATGAAAATTAAAAATTCGCTCTCTATTTGAGAGCAATCGTGGTTAAATGCATCGTCAACTCCTGAAAACACCGGACTAAAACGACGGAAAGTTTAACACAATCGTGATCTTTGACAAGCCGTAAATCAACTCTCAAGTAATGAAGCCAGTAAGTTTCCCTGCCAGAATATATTCGACGACTTGAAATATCTTGTTGACTCAGACCAAACAAAAAACCAGCAAAACAACCAAGTCATACTCGTCTATTAATCAAAGAAAAGAAAAATCTTAACAGAAAAACTGACAACAAATATTTCCTAGAGCGATCAAAATATCGAAATACGAACGATCAAAATTCAACAACACTCACACAGCCCGGACACGGCGCCCCAAAATCTCACTACCACTCTCAATCCTCTGGGAACTTCTGTCGTGTTTGTCTCATCTGCCATCCTTCAAACAGAAAGTGTATTCAATGTATACCTGAATGAATTTTTGCTTTGATCCTAATTCACATTATTCATGAATTCACAACTCGCAGTATCAACTCATTTCCATAGCAGAGACCGTGAATACTGTCTGCGTGGAAAATGCATCGTATATATTCGGAAATCACGACGATTTCCGATCTTTTTGAAAGCCCATATTTGGTTGCAATATTCATTCTTGTAAATGGTCGGATTTATATGCGCATTACTCTTAAAATTTGGTCAACATCTGCGCATGAAAGTCAACTTTGTGTCACGAAAGTCTTGTTTTTCAAAACTTTAACTTGGAGATGAAAAATAACGCCAAATATGAGGGAATTTGAACTTCAAAGCTTGAAATCACTTAGATCTGTCCCTCTCGTTTGTATAAAAATCATTAGCTCGTCAGGAAAAGCAAGTAATCTAACAGTAAGTTTACGTGATACAGTGAAGGCCGTGAAAGATAAAGCACTAGGGGGAGAATTTTCGAAGGAATCTCCGTGCTATAAACTCATCCTCGCCAGATCGAGTAGTGAACTGATTGACCAGAAAACTCTAGAGGAAGAAAATGTACAAGATGATGGTAAGTGCCGAATTTCATATCAAGACGTCTAAGTGGATATTATTTTATCTTTAGAGCAAACCCTATAATTCAATTTACTGTTGTTGTTTGTCTCGCTTCCAGACGAATTAGTACTCATCAGAAAACGACCTCATACTAGTGCTGATATCGCCGAAAAAGTAAGTGTTTTCTCGAACATTTTGTATATTCAGTGTAGACTAAATGATCACGATTCTAACTCCTTCATGTTTTGAAGGACGTTATCTGGAAAATTTCTCTTGGTCCTAAAGCTAATGGTATTAAATTCGTATTCAGTCCAAATCAAAGCAATCTAAATTTAGAAGTAGATTCTATTTTTCTCTGTAATGCTTACAATATGTGGGTTAAATTAGGAGGTTATAGTGTCGGAGATATTATTTAAAGGCAGACTGACTAATATACATACAGATTTCAAAGCACTTCAATATAAGTCATAAAAGTTGTATCGCATGCACACATTTGCCACTTTGGCCCCCTAGAATTTTTTTTGAGTCTCGAGCTTATAGTTCTTTGTCTCTTTAATCAAGTCATCTTTTCTGTCGACTGTCTTTGAGCTCCTACTCTAGAAGCTACATTAAAACAACTCACTGTTGTTTTAATGTGAGGGTAAAGTTTCCTTATGTTTCTTTGCTGATTTGTCATTCAAAAAACTACATAGGAATGTAAAACAAGTTCTTACCAAGTGCCTGACCTAAAGGGGGTCAAGAAGCTGACTGCCAAGCTTGTCGCTGGTAAGATAAAGGAGCCATCACCCAGCTTGTCACCTCTCACTTTAGATGTAAGTAAGATCTTCATTAGATTCATTTATCCAGTAACCACTAAATAAATTCATTGAACAACTATGTGAGTGATAAGAAAAGGCAACTTGGATAGGAAACAATGGCAAATTACAACTTGCAGACTATCTGTTTAAATTAAAGAGGAAAAAAATTGTCTAAAGTAGGATTTGATAGATGCAAACTTCACAAATGGATTAATTAGCAGACCACAGGAAGTGGAAGAAAGTGAAAAAATGTAAAAGCTATTGACAAAAGAACAATGGAAATGACTGGTTGATTGATTAAAGCCAATAAATGATCATAACAGTATTAATAATTTAACACTAATGTAAGAGTTAAAAGAAAAGTTAAGACAACAAGGATCTTGAATTTAAAACAGCATACTAATTCAGCTCAGCTGGGTTTTCTATGTGCCCTTATGTATCCAGTCTCCTTGAGATGGGACTCCTGGAGATATAAGCAGCTGACAGTTTCACTGCTGAATCCACTGTGTGCAGAATCCAACATATTATAACAAAACTGTTATCTTTCTTTTGATAAAACAATGAGGTATACATGATATTTGTCACTCCAAAGGGAATAATTTAAAAACATGGCAGTTCTACAAAATAATCATGCTGTTGTGTCATCATTGTTTGTTAGCAAAACAGAGGGTTGTATCAAGGTGTTTGTAAGAAACCTGTTGCATTGTACAATCAAATTCAAACAGTAAGCCAAAATGAAAAAAAGAAAAAAAAAGGAAATAATCATTTGAACAAATTTTTTTTTCACAACAACAAAATTTGGACTGTAGATCATTTGCAGGAAAGATCCCAACATGAGGTTTCAAACTTGACTTTTTGCTATTGTTTATATAATTTGATGTATAATTTTACCACTTTATTAAAATAAATTTACTTATTTTCACAAAGGATGATGTTGAGCTGGGCAATGATTTTTGGGTTCTGCAAATTAAAAACCAGTTCCAGTTGTATCATTAGTATTAAAATTGATAATTGTAACAATAAATTATAACTTGATGATTTTTTTAATTTAGTTCAATTCAGAACTCAGGAGAATACTCATCTCCTTGATTGACTCTTCTATACTTCTTCAATCTGTGAATGCTGCTGATGAAACTGATAGCTCAGGTATGCGACAAATGAAATTATCTTGATTCTTTGGAAAAAGATCAGAATAAGAATTTCAGTTTCTCACTATACTTTCCTTATCACATACCTGTCTTTCATCTGGATTTTTCTTTGACTGTCTCAAATGGGAGCAATCCTTAAAGCATTGAATTAAGCTGAAATTCCACTTGAATCTTTGATAATAATAATTTAGTGGACTTCGTTTCTTTCTATTGGAAGTCTGCTAAATGTATAAACTCTTTGCTAATTGTGATCTGTGAGTCATTTTTTTTTTCTATCACACAGTACTGAATTTGTTATTTTATGCACAATCACCAGAGGATCTAATTGATGTTGTTTGAGCACACCGGTATGTTTTATGTACAGATTTTTATATTTTTACTGGACTATATTTCAGGTCAAGAAGAGGACAATCAGCCTAATGTTGATCCAGTAAGAGAACAAACACTTGCCTTGTTTTTTTTTATATTTAATATGGGGAATATTTGCTATAATAGAAAGTGTTGTTGTTCATCATGGTTTTAAAAATAGATGAACATTTAATTGTTTGTTTCACAATGTAAGAGTCAGGTTAGTCAACTATGTATTGATTGCAACTTTTTGACATGTAAACTTTCGATCTTGTAGCTGTATGAAGAGTAGCAGTATATATTGCAGTTGAAATTTTGTGATCAAGACTCAATTGATTAGCCTGACTCTTACATTGTGAGACAAATGATTAAATGTTCACTTGTGGAGTATATTTGTTGTGCTTCAATTTTTTGTTTGGTTGCAAATTTGTCAAACCTCTCGTTACACACATGCATGTACTTGTCTCTAATCTTTACCACTGTGTTACAACTTGAAACAAGGCAAAATAAAAATCAAAACAGTTTGAATGAAAGTAATGAAATCACATGAAAAAAAATTCGAACTAGAGCATCCTCATAAATTGATGTAGAGTCATAAATTTGTTCGATTGTTATTAGTAATTTTTATCAAGTACATATTTATTGTTGATTTTGCAGACTGCACTCAAACAATTAGTAGATATGGGATTCAAAGACTCAAGAGCTAAAAAGGCTCTGATATTGAACAGGTAATTTATGTAGAATTTATGATCACGACAATTATTTCTCTGCTAAGCACAAATGATGATAAGGGAGCCCAAAGACAAAATATTTGCCTTGCCTAATAAATGTCAATTACTGTCTCAGTATACATACATGTGTATTATCTGGTTAATGATTTTTATAACAATCCATCAAGCACTTTTTCTTATTCTTTAGTCATCAATTAATGTGAGACCAGATTCCCTTATAGGGAATGTTGCTTCCTTTCCTAGAAGTGGTCTTATAGTTTAGTTGGTACTTAGCACCCTTTTAGAACATGTATCTGGGAGGCACAAGTTTGAACCTGTCAAATCCTGAATTTTTCTGGCTTCTTTTTCTCCAAATTGCAGTGTATCTGTGTGTGTTATTTGATTATTTGTTTGGAAATGTCAGGTAAAAAAGAAAGTGGCATGGCTCAGATCTGTAGTTTCATGAATTGATGGAACTGCATTTTTTCCTAACTCTCTGATCCTCCTTTTATTGTGACAGAATGTCTCCTATGCTGGCTATGGAATGGCTTCTACAGCATGAAAATGATGCTGACATAGACGAGCCTCTGACATTAGGGGCAAGAGCTGGGAAGAGTCGTAGGAAAAGGAAGGAGTTTGTTCCCAATCCAAGGGTGAGTTGCCTTCAGTGCACAAACACTGATGAGATACACTATATTACACATGTGCAGTGGATAGGGCAAGTTTGTAAATGAACAGTGTAGGTTACTATTTCCAGTGGACTTGAGGTGGTTGTATGTATTGTTACAAAGTGGTGGTAACTTGTTTTCTTAGGACCATTACATTTAGGAAAACCAAGTGAATCTTGAATGTCTGAGCAGATTGGGACTTCCATAAGAAAGTAAATGTATGGTGTGATAAAATTTATATACTGAAATATGACAGAAAGACAAAATGAGATTTAAATTGTTGGAGTTTGTTTGAGTAAACTATGAAGTTATTCTTATATGACAAACCCTTTAAAATGTAATGTATCTGTCAATCACCTTAATTATTGGTTTGTAGCATGGCTATTTAACCTGAACAAACCAACAAACTGTTTATGTTAAATATCTTTCAATAACAGTGTGAAAATTGACGCATTATGAAGTATGCGTTCACATTTATAACTTGTAATCTGTGAACATTTACATGTACAGTGTATTGTGCATCAGGATATTGCAATTAAGTCTTCAAACAAAATATGCTCATTATAACAAATTGTTAATTTTTGATATGCAAAATTTTAAATGATTTTAATAAGATGTTAAAATGGAATTATGTTTTTTCTGTGTTGCAGGCTGTAAACAACTTGAAAGAAATGGGCTTTCAGGAAGAAGAAATTCTTGCAGCACTCAAAGCAACTGGGAACAATCAAGAAGCTGCTGTGAGTATAATATTCACAATATGGTCTATTGAACTTAATTTATTTTTGATTGCAGTGAGTTCCAGTTCTTCAACTGAAAGCAGTACGCTCTATCCCTAATTGGCAAACATTTTGTTTCTACAAAATTACAAGGTTTTGTATGCCTTTATCTGGAAAGCTGATTCCACAAACTGAGCAACTTGTAACATAAAAGAAAAAGTTTCTTACATGCTTTAGTTAAATGTTGCTAGAAACAACTGTAAGTAGATACCTGTTTCCATCATTATCATGTTTGCATAAACAGTAATGACCTCTCTATATATTAAAAAATAAATACTTTGTAATGGCCTTGCTCACTGTAGAGTCTCTGTGGCTCAGTGTCAGTGGCTCAGCATCAGAGTGTGGAATCAGAAGGTCTGAGGTTTGATTCCTCATGAACATAGAATTTTTTTCCTTTATCCCATGCTCTTGTCAAGATTTAAAAAAACCTTTTTTCATTTTTTCACTGAGCTCAAATTTTACCATCTTTTTCATTTTATTTGTAACTCATGTTATACTTTCAACAAATTATGTACATGTCTTTTTCAGAAGAATATACATGTGAAGTTTTATTTTTTGATGACAATGGTTACAATCATTGGTGTAAAATAATTCTAAATTGATTGTTGTTTTCTGCAGTGTGATTGGTTGCTTGGTGACAGGCAGGGAGGAATAGGTGATATCAATGAAGGCTTGGACCAGTCTAGGTACAGATGCTGTAGATTAATTTTCAGGTTTTCCAGAGGGGTGCCCTTAGTTAAAATGGAGGCTTTCTATAAACTATTTTTGAACCAAAATACCAATCTCCTGAACTATTGCTCTGCTTTCAAGTACAGGTACTTTTTTTCTTTTGCTGAAATGTTACCCTGTGCAATTTCAGAACAATTTAACAATATCATTAATTGTGTTGCATTGTGCAAGAATGTCAGGGGCCGCCTTTTTGCTCCCTTTTGAGGTTTTTTTTTGTTATTAGTAC